CCTGGCCTGGGTGGCCAGCTTCTGGCCTGAGTGACCAGCTCCTGCCCTGTGAGGCCAGCTCCTGGCCTGAGTGACCAGCTCCTGGCCTGGGTGACCAGCTCCTGGCCTGGGTGACAGGTCCCATTGGTTCGGGGCTGCCAGGAGAGTCTCCCCGGGGTCCCAAACCCCCACCGGCCAGCGTCTGATGGACCCTGAGCACGTTTTCCCCACTAGGGGGCGCTGGGGCACAGCCCCACGGGCGCCTCCGAGCCCCAACCCTCACCACGCCCCCAAAGGGAGCGACAGCGACCGGGCGTCCTGGCCAGTCCGGCCCCTCCCACCGCACAGACAGGTCCGGCACGACCGAGCATTCTAGCAGCTTCCCCGTAGAACAATCTACCAGCCCCTCGGGGGTCGGTGTCCAGCCCCGTGGGGTGGCCCACACCTGTCTCTGTGCACACAGCTGTTTCTGCAAGATCGGGGTGCAAGTCGGGCTGCAGCCACGAGCACCCCGAACCCACCTGTGATCCGACCCGGCGGCTCCGCTCCGCCCCTTTCTCAGCCGGTGCAGGGGCGCCTGTGCTGGACGCCTGCAGGTGTGGGGCCCCCCATCAGCTGAAGGGAACTGACTGGCCTCCCCGACACCCAGAGCGTGCAGGGGAGACGCCGCCCCTCCTCTCATGACCTTGGGGGCCCCCTCCCGCGGGGTGATGCGGTGATGTGGGGGGCGGAGGATTCCCCGGCGCCAGTGGGGTGCAGATGGGACACCCCCCAGCTCCCGGAATTGCCTGAGCCATATTCTGCCGCAGGAGCCAAGTGGGGCCTCAGACGCCCCAGCTCCCCGGTGCAAAGTCCCCCCACGTCCGGAACAGCCGCGTTCCCGTTCGGTTCCGCAGACGCTGACCCAGGAAATGCAGGCAGCTGGCCGCTGACCGCCCGCCGGGCAGCCTGGAAGCGGCTCTGGCAAAGCCTCAGCCTCCTGTGTGGGTGTCGGGTTACCCAGGAGCGGACAAAGGCCGCCATTGTCCCCCCCCCTGCTCCCCTCTGAGTGGATTTCAGCCCGTCTGCTTGTGCTCCATGGAACGTGGATGCTCACTTGCTATAAACTGATTTTCAGTGAAGTCTGAAATAGTTGGGGGGGCCCTGGGGGCCTGGGGGCCCTCTCAGGGGTTCACGCCTGCGGCCTGAGTCCATTCTAGCCGCGCAGGGACACCCCAGGGGACCCCAGGTGGGATGATACCCCTGTCCATACCCGGGACATGAGTCTTCATTTCCACATCTTTGTCTGACCCAGTCTCGTACGGTCGGTCACCAACGGGTCCCACGAAACCCCCGGCTGGACGAGGAAGCCGTGGGCCGAGACCCGGTGGAATATTACTCGGCGGTGAAAAAGGACGGGCTCGTGTCACTCACGGCAGCGCGGGTGGAGCCGGGAGGGAAGAAGCTCAGTGAAATAACCCAGGAGGGAAACACCGGGTGGTGTCACTTGGAGGAGCATCGTCGGGGACCGAAATCAGGGACCGGGGACCGGACGTTATTGCTGGGATCGTTTTAGGGTTCCCGCTGTCCACGGGTTCCCCACGCCGCGACCTCAAGGCAAGGTTGGTCAGAGGGGGTTGGTGAAAGAGCTGGTGCGGGCAGGTGTCCCCCAAGGGTGCCCGGCGCCGTCTACACAGGCCTCTCTTTAAACACGCCCGTCCCTTCTGGAAGGTTCCGACATCCCTGCGAGCATCTTCTCCTTTCCCCCCATTTTTTTTTTTATATCAACCCGCCCTCTTGAGTGCAAACAGTAAGAACACCGAGGCGAGATGCAGCATCACTGACCACAGCCCTCCACACGCTCTGGCGTCTTGGGCTCCGTTTATTAATCTTCAGGTGCCTGCAAATGGCAGGCGTCTCCTTTTTCATGGCTGCATAGTATTCCCCGGTTTTCCGCCTACTTCTTGATCCTGTCATCTGCCCGGGGGCATTTCGGCTGCTTCCAGACGTTGGCTACCGCCATGAGAGCTGGGTACACACCCGGCTGCAGCTTTCCCTTGAGTGAGCGCGGCTGCTGCTTTCAACTGCTTCCCTCGGGCGGCTCGTAGTTTTCGACTCCACTGTGGACGTGCACGGTGTTGAGCTGAGAGGACTCGGTATCCCGCTGGCCTCGTCTGTGCCCTGCTCCCACTAACCCTCTTTCTGCCCAACGAGGCTTTTTCGAGACCCCCCGGGGCCACACACGGACTTAGCATTTGC